TTCAATCCCCCAGCACCACATGCCAGCCAGCCCCACCCCCTGGTGGGCTGAGCTGGCCACACACACACACACACACACACACAAATAAAATAAAAAATTTAAAAAATAATAAATAAATCAGTGTCTCATGGAATGGCATGATTCTGAAAAATTAGATACAGCCTTTTTTTTCAAATAAAGTATTCTCTAAGCTTCACCTGCTAAAATTCTAACTAGTTCTCAGGCCTAGCTTCAAAAACAACCACCTATCTGAATCCTTTCCATGTAACCAAGCCAAAAGTAGTTTCCCTTCTCTTATACATATTATACCGACATTAATTCTTAAGTCTCCCAAAATCTCATCTCTGGCTTTTCTTACATTATAGTGTTGGAAAGTAGATGGTGCACCTTATTCAGTTATTTGACTGGACAGCCCAAGGGAGTGAGTTCCACAAACATAATCTGAGCTAAAAAAACAGGAAGCAGAACCAAAAGTTTCACTTACTGCTGAGACAAAAGGAATTGAAATCAACTTCCTGCTCCAGAACCCAGTTTACAGGACAGTATAGGAAGGCAAGATTATCCAGAAGACGACTACCATTAACTAGCCAAAGGACTGCAGCTCGTTCCAACCTCCCTGTGACTGCTACCCATTTATACCAATTAGGGGGTATAATCAGATCATCTTTCTGGCTCCATCACATTTCTAAACTACTATGAAATAAGCCACATGAAAAGAATACAGCAGTAGTAAAAAGAGAAACAAAGAAATGTTCTGACTAGCCACAGGGACTTTTTATCTGGATTCTCCACAAACACCTTCCAGCTAACTGTGATGACTCACACCTGCATCCTGGGAAGCTGAGGCAGGAAGATCAAAAGTTTGTGCCCAAGCTAGGCAACTTCACAGTTTAGCAGGATCCTGTCTAAATTTTTTTTAGAAGGGGAAGAAGTGTCTGAGATGTAGCTTGGTGAGAAGGCCTTGGCTTCAATCCCAGTATCAGAAAGGAAGGGGAAGAGGGAGGGATGCAGAAAGGGGAGGGAGAAAGAAGGGAAAGAAAAGAGAAAGAAGAGACAGAGCAGGCAGAGAGGCAGGCAGACTTCTTTCACGGTGAAACTTCAATTTCCTTACAAGGATACTCATCTAGCCTAAGGAAACAAAACAGACAAAAACAGAGTCTAAATCTTTGGTACTGAAAATGCAAGTATATGCCATCAAAAGACAGACTTGAAGAGCCAGAGGTAACTCATGCATTCACAGCACTTTGAACCAGTGCACACAACTTGCAGCTAAAGATCTAGGCAGCAGCACCTCCAGAACTGAAAGACAAGAAAAAGACCAGCACATAACACTGTGACCGCACCTGGTGATGACGTGTAAGAACTGTGGCGTGAGCACTGCCTGCTGAGACTTCTCAGGGTACTGGTAGACCGACATTAATTCAACAGACTTGACAACCATGTAGAGGTAGCCCATGTGAGGTAATGAGAAAAAACAAAAAAGACTCAGCAGCTCATTTCCATGAGACGAATTCTTCCCATCAGAAGTAAGAGAACCTGTATCCCAAAAAATGAAAGAATAAATACCATTAAAATTTTAAATAAAGGGAAAAAGTAAATATTTTGAGACTCTTAAATATTTTGAGACTTACATTTGTCAGTGGAAAACCAAAAAGTTGCTAGGGAGAATTTGCTCTTTATTGAAAAATGCCAATGAGGAATAAAAAGAACAATATACTTGTAATATCACCAATTTGTAACTCCTAATAAATGTACAGAACTCTGCTTAGGCAAGTGCAGGGACAAGGGTTCGATCCCCGGCACCACATGCCTTGTTGGCCCCGACCCTGGGTGCAATGAACCAGCCACAGGGTCCCAGCGTGGTGACTCACGCCTCTAATCCCAGCACTGGGGAGTTGAAAACAGGAGGATCACTATGAATCCGAGCTGCATAGTGAGTCCCTGTACCAAACACATAAAAAATAAATAAATAAAAAACAAATGCACAGAACAAAATAATTACCATCAGTGGCTTGCTAACATCATAAAGAGAGTACACCAACCCCACAGACTTCCTAGAAAAGCTTGCAATGCTTCTGTTACAAACATCGTAATAACAGTGACATACTTTTTGTTCTGGCCTCCCGCCTACCTCTGAGGATTGAACCCAGGGACTTCACACTGAGCTACACCCCCAGCCTTTTTATTCGGAGAGAAGTTCCTCTAAATGTGCTCAAACTTTTGATTCTCTTGCCTCAGCCTCACAGAATGCTGGAATTACAGGTGCAATTCAAGCAGGTGTAATTCTAGACTCCAACCTGAGTCTAGATCAGCACTGTAATAAAAATATGTGAGCCACATCTGCAAATTAAAGTCTTCCTGGAGCTTTTTTACATTTTTAAAAGTAAAAAGAAATAGCTATAATGTTAATAGCATTATATTCAACATATCTAAAATATTGCCATTTCAATAAGCAATAAACCAAAAAGATACTTTGCACGTTATTGTACCAAGTCTTCAAAATCTAGTGTGTATTTTATACATACCGGAGATCTCAATTACACCAGTCATACTGCAAGTGTTCAACACTGACATGTGGCTAATCCCATATTGGACACCAGAGATTTGCATCCAACTACTAACTCACAGAGATTCAGGAATATGTTAAATGACCCTGTGAAGGGGCCAGGCAGATAGCTCAGTGGCATAAGCACCTGCCTAGCAAGTATGAGGTCCAGAGTTCTAAAGACCCTGTGAGAAATCAACTGGCATAATGCAGACTATGGGAAATTTCATAGTAAGAGGCCAATTTCTTACTAAATAGACTGCAAAGAAAAATAAAGGAAAACTCCACTAACTAATCGATTGCAATGTATAAACCTTACTTTGTGTATGTTATGGCTCCTATCTAGATACTTCCCCCCACCCAAAAGCCTCATGGCCTCATAGGTGAGGTGGCTGGATCTAGGGTGTTTAAGAACTAAATGGGAAGCCGGGGAGATAGCTCAGTAGAATAAGCGCTTGCTCGCCTGGCAAGTGTAAGGGCCTGAGTTCAATCCCTGGTTCCACCCCACCCCCCAAAAAAAGAACTAAATGGCTTAGCACAATACTGGGTGTGGATAATGGAATTTCTATCCTGCATGTCAGCAGCACCAATTAAAAGGCTGACAGCCTGGATGGAATATAAAGGGAGAGGGAAGGCTTCTACTGCTGTGGCTTGCTGCCTTCTTGTCTGACATACCATGGGTTATTCCTCCTCTTCCATATCTGTTTTGGTGCCAGCTGATTATGGACTAAAACCTCTACAAACTGTGAACCGAAATAAACTTCTCCTGCTTTTAACTTATGGGTGTCAAGCATTTTATCTCAGCAATGAGAAAAATAATCAGGAATTTTTTTAATCATGAAAATTTGAACACTGATATCAAAGAATTTTTTTAATATGAAATAGTATTTTGAGTCTGTATAAGAATTCTTTCCTTTGAGAGATACTTGATGAAGTATTGATGGAGGAAGTGGTATTAACTATAGGATTTGAATCAGAATAACCTGGCAGGGAGCAGAGGATGGGTCACGAGGCATCTGGTAAGGTTGTACGCAGGTACAAGAGAGCCCACTGTACTACCTCTTCACTATTTAAAATTCTCATAACCAAAGTTTTAATAACAAAGTACTTTTCTGATGGGCACTGTTCAATAACACTGATGACCATCAGAAACCCAATTCTGTACTCTTCGCAACTGTCCCCAAAGCCAACTGTCCAACGTTTTTCTTCTTCTTCCATCTAAACACATCTGGATTCTAGTGAAATAGTACTACTCCCTTCTCCAAACACACATAACAATCTTATAGCTGGTACATGTTGGTCCCCTATGCAATATCTTATCAAAATCTCTATCTTCGGGCCAGCCAAATAGGTAGCAGATTAAAGAGCCTATTTAGGCAGATGCAGAGGCAGGGACTGGCTTGATCCCCAGTGTGCCATGCTCGCCCCACCCCCAGGGCACACTGAGTCGGTGATTGCGACTGGGCTTGGTGGCATGTGCCTGCAATCCCAGCACTCGAGGGGCTGAAAACAGGTGAATCACTGGAAGTCCGATCTGCGTAGTGAGACCCTGTAGACTGTACTAAACACAAAAAAAGAAAAATAAAATCTCCAACTTCTAGAAATTCTACTCATGCTATAGGGCCAGCTCACTGCCCATTCAGTAAGTATTCATCAGGTACCTACTAAAGTGTTGATACTCTCAGTTCTCAGGACACAACAGTACACAGGACATGGCAAGTGCTCTCTCAGACACTGCACTCTAGTGATGGGGACTGGCGTAGAGAATAAACAAATAATCTCCAATGTATGGAGAAGGGATGTTTTAAATTGTGAAGCCAGAGAAGTTCTCTGTGGTGAGATGACATTTGAGCTCTAGGTGGAATGACTTGAATGCAGTCATGCAAGACCTAAAGGAGCTTCACTCTTAAAACTAGGAAGAAGAAATGGCAGGTCTTACTCAAAGGTGGCCTGGCACATGTGAGGAAGAGAGAAGGACCACTATGGATGGAGAACAGCAGCCAGGTTAAGAGTGAGACAGGATGAGCTCACAGTCACAGTCATGCAGAACATGAACGGATGTGGGGGTTTTATTCCAAGTCAAAGCTGACCCTGACAGCTCCTGGCCCGGGCTGGTCTCCAGCCTTGTTTCCCATCTCCCCTGCTGACTTTTGTTGGCCTTCCTTCTCTAAGTTCCTCACCTAGACAACTCCCCACCACAGTTGCTGCTTCCTCTACCTGAAAAGCTCTTTTCTCCTCAGCACCAACGCCTTCCCTAGCCAACCCTTCAGAATCTCTTCCTTAGGACCCCAAAATGAAGCCAGGATCTTTTCTTACAGGTTCTCACAGTGGAGTTCCTCTCCCGTTCACTCATTCTAGTGTGTAATTGTGGTTATGTAACTAGTTAACTAATCTCTGCTTCCACCATTAGACAGTTAACTCCAAAGGGCAAGCATACTGCCTCCTCTTTCAACTGCTGCTTCTCTAATATTCAACACTAGACCCTCAATAAACTTTTACTGAAAGAAAAGAATAAGTGAAGGTTTTAATGACACTGAATCAGAGAGACATTTACAACACTTTCTAGAAACATCTAAAGATGTTATTCAAACCTTGACCGATTAGCTTATTGCTAATTCTCAATCTTGGAATTTATTAGATTCCTGTTGATCATTTCTCAGCCTTTCGGCTAAGATCAAGTATAGATTCCTGTTGAGCATTTAAGAAAGATTCATGCCAGTCCCCAAAACTTAGTCAGAATCTCCACCACATAGAGCCCAAGCATTAGCATTTTTAAGATTGCCCAGGTAGCCTAGCAAGCACAAGTTCCATCCCTAGTACTGCAAAAAAAAAAAATAAAGATTGCCCAGGTAAGCCAGGCATGGCGGTACACATCCCAGAACTTGAGGAGACTGAGGCAGGAGGATCAATGCAAGTTTAAGACCAGCCTGGGCTACAAAGTGAATTCAAGGCCAGCCCGAATTCACTGCGGAGCAAAACCCTGACTCAAAAATATAAGTAAATAAATAAAAACACAAAAGTGCCCAGGTAAACCTAATATGCAATAGGGCTGAAAAGCACTGTTCTAGGTGAATCTGCATTCAGTCCACATCTCCCACCCTGTCCACAAGGTCATCCTAAGAAGCTCTGTCAATACCCTGCCCGAATCCTGGTAAATGTCTTCTCTGGACAGGATCTAATTTCCTGTTCTGGACCCAGGGACCACTGTAAAAATGAAAATGAGCTCTATCATGCTCTCTCCATGGCTTCACTTCTTGTAGCAGACCTGACTTTTCTTGCTAGTCTCACAGGGATTTGCTCACAGACTCATGCACACCCCAGGAGACTCAGGAAAAGACACAAATCTAGTGCCTACGCTGACCTTCCCTCTGCCGAGCCCTGACGCCACCACGCTGAGCCCTGACTCCACCACGCTGCCACACTCACCTGTTTGGTAAATGGGTAGCAGCTGCAGGGAATGCAACCTGATGTCATCAGATGAAACATAGAAGGAAATATCAGGAGTAAAACGTCTATGGGTTTAAAAAGACAAAGAGGAAAAAGTCTAACTTCCATGGACATTAAACATGCACACAAATACTAAAATCTAGGGGACAAAAAAACTGTCTAATACCTGTAGAGCAGGTGCTGGACATGGAAGTATATTAGCTTTTCATCAGCTAATCCTGTAGATTCCACTGTAACAGATATTCCAGACTGTTCACTTTTTTCACCAAGAAGTTCCATGGGCTTTTGGCAGATAACAAAACCATCTGACTCAATCTGTGAAGTTTCATTACTGAAATCTTAAAAAATAAAAGTTAAGAGTATAATAACCTCAAGTACTACCTTCTTGAATGAAAAGTAGATTTCATAATATTCTTTCACAAATTAGATAAGCATATTATAGTTTTATATATACATACTTTCATACAATTACAAGGCATCACAGTTTTGTTTTTCTTTTTTTTTTTTTGCAGAACCGCGGATTGAACTCAGGCCCTTGAGCTTGCCAGGGAAGCATTTATCCTACTGAGCCATCTCCCCGGCCCCTACAGTTTTCAAAAGTAGCACTTGTGCATTTATTCCTCACACCACTGATAAAGTACAACAAAATATGTATTATCACTCCCACTTTACCTGTAAGAAAATTCAGAGATGGTGTTACCCAAAGGTATCCAATTAATAAATATAAGCACAAGGACTAGAAATCCCTCACTTAATAGCTCTGTTCCATTATTTATGTTAACAAATACATGTACACAGTACACGATGGTATATGCACAGCTAAATCATAAACACAAATTGGATGTAATCAGCACAAGTAAATCTATAAATATTGGGGGCCTGTCCATTAGCTCAGGTGTTGAAGTACCTGCTGAAACAAAGCAGTCAGGTTCAATCCCCTCACCCTCAAGCCAAACCAGACTTGCCCTGAAGGCATCCTGAGCACCACCCCCCCCCACCGCAAAAAAAAAAAAAAATATATATATATATATATACACACACACACACACAGTGGCTTGGCACCATACTAGCCACAGTGGTGCCAATGGCTGTACCAAACTAGAGTTACAGTCAAAGGTGATTGGCAGGCATGGTGACGCACACCTGTGATCCCAGCACTTAGGAGGCTGAGGCAAGAGGACCACTGCAAGTGGGAGACCAGCCTGCACTACAAAGCAAGCTCAAGGCCAGCTGGAGCTGCAAAGTGAGACCCTGTCTCAAAAGACAAAAAAGTGACCATTTTCTCGATGCCTAGAAGAAAGTAAGTTAAGTTCACCATTTACCTGTATTTGTCTGTTTCACAGGACTGTTGGTCTCAAATGGATGGTGATGAACTCCCTCTCCATTTTTAGAGTCCGATTCTAGTTTTAGGACTAAGACTTCCAAATCTGACATGACAGCAACATATCCAACACAGAAAGAAATTTCAACAGGAGTGATATTATCTAAGTGGATAATTAAACAACGTTCAAAGTCCAATACTGTGAATTCTTCATTAACAACCTGGGACGTCAAAGTAAATAAAACTAACTTATTTGTGCAGCCAACAAGGAGGTCTCCTTTCACAGGACAACAGGAAATGCACAAGGGGGCCTCAGAGAGCGGCATTTCAACAATAGACATCTGGTCTCTGAAGGATTCCCTGAAGGGCACCTCTACATTGTGCCCCACCATGCGGATACACACACGAGAGTTCTCTGCCCTTTTACTTCTCCAGTTCACATAAGCACGTAAAAACGTAGCCTTGTTTTTCTCTTCGATTGTGACCAAATAGTCCCCTGGAAAGGAAGTAAGGTATACTTAGAATATGTAATTGGAAATACAACCACTTACTTTGCTGTAATAAAATAGAACACATCATCGGCTATGGATTGAATAAAACAAGATCCTAAATAAGAGAATCTCAGACATATTTTTAACTTACATTATTAGACATTTGAGGTTCTGAAATACAACCTTCCCCATTTTATTCATGGAACACAAAACCTACATTTTACTTCCTATATTAGCGCTATGCATTTCACCAGAACTCTAAACATAACAAAGCTCTACTGACAAAAAGCTTCAGCAATATTAGTGAATTACTGTCACTTATTAAAGTTAGGTATATCCACATGGCTGACACTGACAACGGTTCTACAATCTGAGGTACAGGATCTCAGGATAAATCCTGAGGGGATTTCACTGACCTTATCAGACCCAAAACCTACAACTCTTGTTGCATAGGTCCTGCCTTACCTTGGTCTTAACCATCCAGCAGAAAAGTATAAAAACAAAGTGTAAGAAGTAAAGCCATGTTGTTATTTTGAGCTGTGGGGGGCTCAGGTCAACAATTTCTGACATTGCCAGTCAAGTGGAAGACCCAATACTATTATGGGCCACTGAACTTTTTTTAGAGTATTTTGCTGAGTTTACACACACACACACACACACACACACACACACATATTTTTTTTGTGGAACCGGGGATTGAACTCACGCCCTTGCGCTTGCCAGGGAAGCGCTTCTTCCATTGAGCCATCTCCCTGGCCCATGCACACCTATAATATTTAAATGATGGAACTTAACAAAAAAAGGGGATACAGATGAATGTCCATTTTGTATTTGTGTATTCAAAGTGGTTAGGATAGATATAGAGTTACATTCTCTTATTGAATAGAGGGATTTGTTCTAATAGTGCTTGTAAATAGGACATCAAGTCCGCATCTTCTACAGCAATTAACGACTAGGAAGAATGTATGCAGTGTGTTAATTATTGAATCTATCCTACCAGTTTGGTTTGAAACTGTCTCATTGCTATTTGTTTCTCAATAAAATTATGGAAAAAAATAAAAAAATAAAGTTAAGTATAAAAATAAAGTTTGGTACAAATTAAGTAACTCTTGAGTTTAACCTAACTTTTACTTTATCTCTTCCCCTCCCCACTAAAGCCACACCTGTGAAAAATAGGATAAAGCTAGATATACTAAGCAAAATATAAATCCAAGTTAACTTTCTCTTAACTCTGAGATTTTTTTAACTTGTAAGAGTAAGGGGTTGGGGATATAGCTCAGCAGCTTAAGTGCCTGCCTGGCAAGCAGAAGGTCTTGAGTTCAATCATTGGTACCACAGGAAAAAAAAACAAAAGTTAGATATTTGTTGTTATATTTGAGACATCAAAACCAAATCAAAGACATGCAAAACAAAACGCATAAACATCTCTCTGCCACCTCACCCCAGAGGACACAATGTAAACACACAGCCTGGTGCATGACTGTAAACATTGTCTCTTATACAGCATAAGCCTACCACACAGAGCAGTGCTCTGTCTTCTTTTTTCATACCATACTAGCTACTTAACAATCTGCAGGATTTTTAGGTGATAAATCTTCCCCTAAAAGTTATCTAATGTCCTCTTCACTACATCTTATACACACACATGTGCAATAACTATTTAACTGCCCTACTGATATATAGTCAAGCACATCTACGTTTTGGGCCACTGTATTTTTTTCTGAATTACACAGGCCTATTCCTCTATACTCACTGAAAGAAGGGAAGGAGAATGGGATAGAGTCCTAAAAGTAAGAATGCGGGCCCAAAGGGGAGACTCATTTGACACTTTAATGGATACTGCCAAGTGGCCACCCTATACAATAGAAACTCAAGGTGTCCACAGCACTGTTTGAGTATGTCTACTTACCTACATCCTCCCCAGCAAGGACTCTACGTGGCAGTGGGAACATGGACTCTAGCAGCTGGTATGATTTACATTACAAAGATGACTTCTAAAACTAATCATGCTTTCCTATGTGTGTTATCCATGTATAGTTTCCCTTCTATAAGTTGTCCATTTTTTAATTAAGCTGTTGATATATTTTTCTCAAGGAACTGCAATTCTCTGGGAAAAGGGATACCAACTAACTTGTCATTGGCCATGCATAGCACATAATTTTAGTCTATTTTTGTCTTTGTTTACGACTTTTTCACCATATAATTGTTATATAGTCAGATACATTACCTTTCCTTCTTGGCTTCTAAAGTTTCCTTCTTTGCTTAAACATTCATGCCTTCCAAATTACATAAATAGAAGGGATAGTTCCATCTTTTCTATTTTAGTGGACTTCATTTTTTTGGTAGTACAGATTAAATCTGGTACTTTCACACTGAGCTATACCCCCAGCCCTTTTTAAAAAAATTTATTTTGAGACAGGATTTCTCTAAATTGCCCAGGCTTAGGTGTGGTGGTTCATGCCTGTAATCCCAGCACTAGGGAGGCTGAGGTAGAAGAATCATTGTGAGTTTGAGGCCAGAATGGGATATAACGTGAGTTCTAGGCCAGCCTGAACTGTATAATGAAACCCTGTCTCAAAAAGAGAAAAAAGAGGTGCCAGGGAGATGGCTGAGTGGAATAAGTGCTCCCTGGCAAGCGCAAGGGCCTGAGTTCAATCCCTCGTTCCACCAAAACAAGAAAAAGGGAGAGAGAGAGAGAGAGAGAGAGAGAGAGAGAGAGAGAGGTCCCCTGTATGCCGCGCCAGCCCCATGGGTGCTGATTGAAACTGGGCACGGTGGGAGGGGGGCCTGTAATCTCAGTGCTTGGGAGGCTGAAAATAGATGGATCATTACAAAGTCTGATCTACTACGCAGTGAGACCCTGAACACACTGTAGACCCTATACCAAATACATTAAAAAAAGATCCAAACAAAAAGGCAAACTTTTTCCTGCCAGTGATTCCTTTGATGCCACAGAGATGACATGTGATATTACTCTCCTTGAAATCTTGATAGGATGTTTACAAATACCAACATGTGCACTAAGTTTTGCAGTGTTCACTGGCCTTAAGTACATTCACACTGTTTTGCTACCATTACTACCATCCAGAACTTCTCCATCTTTTCCAATACTATGCATCCAAGACCAGGAACACAGTTCAGTAGTACAAGTGTCTGCCTGGCAAGCACCAAGGTCCTGAGATTGATCCCCAGTACCGGAAAAAAAAACAAAACAAAAAAAAACTATGCATCCATCAAGCAGCAACTCCTCACTCCTTCCTCCCCACAGACCCTGGCAATCTGTCCTTCCACTTTCTTTCTCCATGAATTTGACTACTCTCAATAATACCTTACGTTAAGTCCAACTGTATAGAGCTTGTTCTTTTGTGTCTGTGCCATTAAGCTTCTCCCAAGTATAGCACATATCAGAATTGCATTCCTTTTCAAGGCTAAAAGCCAGTAACTTTATCTATCTGTTCACTTGTCACTAGTCCCTTCAATTGCTTCCACCTTTTAGTTCTGATAAACAACTCTCCTATAAACATTGGTGTACAAATATCCATTCAAAAGACAGAAGTAGAGCTGCTGAATTACATAGTAATTTTATATTGTTGTTTTTAAGAAATGTCAAGTTGTTTTCCTAAATGACTGCATATTTTAGTTTCCTAGGTTCCAATGCAAAAGGAAGATCCAAACGAAAAGGCAAACAATTTCTCCACATCCTCTTCTACATTTATTCATTTTTTGAACTGATAACCACCCCAGTGAATATGAGTGATATCTCAACATGGCTTTAATGTGCACTTCCCTAATTATTTATGTGCATTTTTTATTGCTTTTGATCACTGGTATGTCTTCTTTGGAGAATTTTATTTTTTCATTGGTGTACTTTCTAGATGTGAAGTTTTGTTTTGCTTTGTTGAGACAAGGTCTCATGATATAGTTTAGGCTGGCTTGAAACACTATGTACCCCTGGGGAGACCTCAAACTAGACAGCTATCCTCCTACCTCAGCATCCTAGATGCTGAGATTATAGGAATGTGCCACTCTACTTGGCCTGATGAGAGGTTTAGAATTGGGTTAATTCTCACAATAGCCCTTCAATGTACATATTTCTTTCCCCAGTCTACAGATCAGGAATCTAAGCTCAAACTAAGTAACTCCCTAAGGCCAGAAAGCCAACAAACAACGGAGCAGGGCCTTAGGATCAGGTCCACTCAAAGGCCTAAGTTCATTTCTCAATAAGGCTGCCTCTCAAACTGAAGATGCAAGTCTACAGGACTCTGTGGAGGTGATTACCTTCATGAAAAAAGGGAACTAAATATTTAAGTGTTATGTGCTTTTTTTTTTAAACTTTTCAAAGCTTTTATAGTCATTAAATAAAATCTTTAAAAATTAATGATATTAAAAAATTTAATGATACTGAATACTAAAATTTCAAAACTATCCAAATTTTCTCCATATTTTTCTTCCTCATTCCTCAAATTTTATAAAAAGTGAACAGTTTTCAGCTGATGTGAGATTTAAAAAAGAAAAAAAAACTACAAATGTTTTCTGCTTGGGTAAGAGAGCTACACAGTATTCACAGAAAATTTAAATATACAAACTCTTTTTTTGAGAAGAGGAAATTTGCAACAGATGACACTAGGCACAGAGAACAGAAATCTCCAGGTTCCACCAATGGTTATGGGAAGAAGGGGCCAAAGGAGAAATGCTGAGAAGAGGAAGAGAAGTTTTCAGGATACTGACAGAGCCAGGAGCCATTCTATTTAATTTCAGTTACAGCACACCAACAGAAGCAGCCCTCAGAAGTTGCAGTGCAACTGTGGGTGGAAAGCTGCCCTTGACCCCCACAACCAATGAAGCAAAGCCAGCCCACATCACTACTCCTGAACCGTAAGGCAGCCAACCAAAGTATAAAAACACCTTTGTTTTTCAAACCTCTATTAATATGATCATGCAACTCGTGGCCTCATGAAGCCAGTGTGGCTCAAGTCAGTGTTTCTCAATCCTGATTCATCTGTTTCACCCCAATGTTGGCATATTCCAGAGAAACTACTATGTTGGATATCTGACGATGTACTTCAGGAATAGGGACTTTTTTTCTTTAAGCTTTACAGGTGATTTTGATGTATAAGTAGTGGACATCCAAGGATCCCAGGAATCAACATTACTGACAGGCAAGAAAGCCAGAGGCTTGCGGCTGGGAAGATAGCTCAGGATAATAAGTGCTTGCCTGGCAAGTGCAGTGTCCTGAGTTCAATCCCCAGTTCCACAAAAAAAAAAGGAAAAAAAAAGAAAGCCAGAGGCTTATGCAATGCCTGCCATTTCAAATTTTAGAATACTGTCCATTTGAAAGAATGAGGCAAATCAATAAACATTCCCCCAATCTCTCCCCTCCTTGAAACACACACAAGTTGAAACTGATAAGCGTGCTTACTCAATATAACTTTTTATTTTTTTGAGCTAAGATGTTGCTATATTGCTTAGGTGGGCTTCAAACTTGTGAGCCTTCTGCCTCAGACTCCCAAGTAGCTGGGATTGCAGATGTGCACCGCGGCTCACACAGCACTCCTGAAGGTAAAAATGTCACAGAATAGGGTGGGGGAAAGTACCAATACAGTAAAAAGCAAACCATAACCTGTACCCTGGGAGGTTAAGCCAGGAGGATCAAAGTGCAAAGGTTCTAGGTTCAACTCTCAGGAGCAGGGAAAAAATACTAAAATCAGAATAGTTCTGCAGGGGGCCGGGGAGATGGCTCAGTGGAATAAGCACTAGCCTGGCAAGCTCAAGGCCCTGAGTTCAATCCCCAGTTCCACCAAAAAAAAAAAAAAAGTTCTACAGAAAAGGAAAGTCTACCTATGAGTACTCTTCAATATGGAGTGCTGTATAGGCCTCAACTTCTATTGTGCTTAGCCAACAAGAAATAATTACAGCAAAGTAATTTGCTAATAATATTATTATTATAAATAATGGTGACCTAAATACTAAGGTTTTGAGGTTTCCACAATGAAGTTCAGGCTGGCCTTGAACTCACTTTGTAGCCCACCCAGGCTGGGCTCAAACTCACCACAATCCTTCCGGAGTGCTGGCTGGGAATACAGGCATGTACTACCAAGCCCAGTGAAAGCTTTTTTGTAAAATGAAAAAAATCTATCTTTACTTGACAAAACAATCAGATATTAGATATGGGAGCTCCAGTTTTTAACAGTCACAAAAATCCCAACACGTTGAAATCACTGATTTACCACTTCAACTTTTTTTAAAAAGCAGAAATTGAGACCCAAAGGTCTGTACAAACTCATAGTGAATCGGGTGCAGAGTAAGGATTAGTGAGACAGAAATCCCTAACACTGCAGGTTCATCACGCTCCCTGCTTTGTTAGTGACACAGCCACCAGCCTTTCCGCCGTAGATCCTGCACTTTGTATCTGTCTTGAAAAGTAGGAATCAAAGCTTAGGTGCACTGGACAGTTAAAGGAATCTTAGGGCAAATCCTTATATAGCCTAAAGGGTATTTGTTTAAAGTTGGCTATTTTCCACAGGTCACGCCCACCCAATACCCCCTTGCTACAGCCTCTAATCTTGGTGGAAAGGAGTAGTCCACGCTCCTACAACTTTTTAAGGAAAGAGCCAGGGGAAAACTGGACAATTTTGGACAAAGTTTCATCTATATGCACTTAAGAATCAGCACATAAGGCGCCAGAGAGATAGCTCAGTAGAATAAGCGCTTCCCTGGGAAGCGCAAGTAAAACCCGACCAGAAGTGGATGGAGGTCTAGAGGCAAAAGGACTGGCTGTAAATTGAGATACTTTGGAGGACAGGATACCAGGAGCGTTAGGACTGTATTCCCCCTACCCCACTTACGTACTCTAGAAATTTTCTACACTCAACAGGCCTCAGCAAGGAACGGTCCCGGAGCCTAGCAGGGGTCAGCGACTCCGCCCCAGGGGCGCGGTCACACCTCGGGTTGCCCCGACGACCGCACCGCCCCGGCGCACCGCCACCGCCACCGTCACCCCCAGAGCAGAGACCACAGAAGGTGGCAGGAAGCACGCAGTCCCTTCCCCGCCCAAAGCCGAGCCTCCGCGGGCGCCCTCGCCGCCGCGACTCACCGGCCTCGCTGTAGGCCATGCGCAGCACCCTGCCCAGCGTGGAGAAGGAGCACCTCGGCTGGCACAGCTCCTGGCCCGTCACGGCGAACGCCTCCACCCGGCAGCCGGCCGCCACGAACAGCGCGTCGCTCCCCCCACCGCAGAACTGCTCCGGCTCCAATTTGCAGGGTACCACCTGCTGCGACCCAAACGGATGCAGGTTGTACAGACGCACCATCGCGGCGCGCCGGCCCGTCCGCCCCGCGGGCGCCCGGAGACCCCGCTGCGGCCGCGGGGACCGAGCACTTCCGCGAGCGCACGGGCGGCGCCGGGTCACGTGAGTGTCTGTCTGCTCCTGCGGCTTAAAGGGGCCGCGGGGCGGGGCGGGGCGGGGCGGGGCGGGGCCAGGCCAGGCCCTGGGAGTAGTGACCCGGCTGCAGCGGTTCACACCCTGCCCGCAGGCCCTGAAATCCTGCGGGCGGGAGAACCCGGTCCTGGAGCGTGCGCGCGGAGGTGGGCAGGCGCTGGAACCGCCGGCTCCTTGCCTTTGTCTTTGCATATTCCTGCATGGGACACAAGATGTTTTGTTCCATGGGCGTGTTGTGACACAGAATCCTCTGCTGTTCTGTATGGTTTTTGCCGAAGACTCCTCGGGTCTTCCCAGTCTTTAAGAACAAGGCTGCAAAAACTGAAATGGTTGTGCACATTTGGACCAAACATACCAAAGAATTGCTCGGAAATACTGAAAGTTTTAGTACGGTTTTTTGTAAAGAAGAAAACTCGGAAGGTGCCTGACGAGAAAGGATTTTGGTTTTTTGAATGACAGAACCTGCAGACACCTTAAGGGCATTTGATAAAAGGTTAATTGTAGCCTCGGAGGATAAGACGAGGAGGGAAATCCCGTAGCGGTCAGTCCAGTGCCCCCAAAACTATCCTGTAGCCTATATTCTCAGCAGGGAACTCAAGGTCGCACTCCGCATCTCCCTCCACTTTTAACAGACTTAATTGAAGTAGATCGTGATAGGTTCCTGTTGGAGTAAAAACGGCTAAGTAATCAAGGCCCTGATTCAACCTGGCTGAATCCCAAAACGACAGTTTATCTTCTCAGTGACCACTTCCTCCTGCTTCCCCACCCCAGTCCTGGATACCTTTCCAGAGCACACAAGCGAGCCTCCAATCAGCTCCTTGCGTGTCGCTGAACCCTCCCCTCAAGCTCCGCCCATAGCAAAAGTCCCTAAGGTCTTGACCTCCATCTCTGGTCACAGGATCTTCCCACCTCCCTGCCCTCGACCCTCTTGTGTCCTGCTCAATGGCAATGAAGGCCTTTTCCATCCTTTTACTTCTTCTCTGCCATGCTGCTGAGAACCCTAACAGATCTTACAACTACTTTTTCCACTTAATATACACAATTTGTTATTGTGGGTTTTTTTGTTTTTTTTGTTTGTTTGTTTTGTTTTGGTGGAACTGGGGATTGAACTCAGGCCCTTGCGCTTGCTAGGCAAGCGTTTATTCTACTGAGCCATCTCCCGGCCCCCTTGTGTGTTATTGTGAATTGAGTTGTTTTGTTTGGCACAAAGGGAGTGTTAGGAAAAAGGAAAAGAAAGATAGGAGCTCGGCAGGACAGGTTTATTTCAGAACAAACCAGAGAGGGACTGATCTGGCACTTCGGGTCTGTTTTATAGGGTCGGGGTGGGAGGTGTTCAGTGAAAAGGGGTTCCAGCCACCTACTAAGAACAAGGCTCGAGAGAGCACAACAAGAGGTCCAGGTGTGGTGGTGTGTGCCTGTAATCGCAGCACTCAGGAGGCTGAGGCAGGAGGATCACTGAGTTCGAGGCCACCCTGAATTGCATAGTGAGACCCTGTCTCAAAAAAAGAAAGAGAGCACAAGGGGTAATGGTTGCCCAAGGAGGAGGCTTGGGAAAGCCAAGGAGTAGTGGTTGTTATCAATAGCAGGGCTGATAATAGTTTGGATTACTGAGTGCAGCAGCGCTGCAGGAGCAGCTAGCATGGTCACTTTTGGTATAGTGGCAGTGGTCTGTCTGGTCCTTCACTCCAGACTCTGTGGTTAGATAGGGGAAAAGGGCAGTGCCTCTCTTCCTTCCCTACTTCCTGCTGATTAGGGGAAGAGGTCAGGGGTTTTGACTGGACTAAAGGAGAACCTTACTGACCTGGTCTTTGGCAACTGACTGTGAAATGGTCATAGTTTGTTTGTGAGCAAACTTTGAAACGGATTGATTAGGCAGGGCAATAATAAACAGGAGAGTAAAAAGAGAAGAGCAGGCACTATAAAGGGAAAAAAAATCTAAGATACGGTAGGTGACTTCCACGGATCTCATGAGCTCTGCAGGGGCCTGGAGACACTTGTTGTGCTTCCTGAATCTCAGTGTTCATCTCCTGCAAGCTACAGTAACATTGTCATGATTATCTGAGATCAAATTATAACATGAGGGGCCGGGGAGATGGCTCCGTAGAATGAGTGCTTCCCTGGTAAGCTCAAGGGCCTGAGTTCAATCCCAGTTTCACCAAAAGATGGAAAGAAAGAAAGAAAAAGAAAGAAAGAAAGAAAGAAAGAAAGAAAGAAAGAAAGAAAGAAAGAAAAGAAAGAAAGAGCTTGGCTTATGAAGCATGGCTCACATGTCTCTCTCGGTGAGACTTTGCTTGTTTGCAGTGGATCTAGGCACCTTTATGGTTGGTTCCATCTGCATGGTTCCAGCTGGCACCTAGACCTATCTATGGTATAGCTGGAAACCTGGCAGGGGTCAATGATTAAGTTCCTTTTTTATGTTGAGCTTTGTTATGGTTTGTTGTGTCTAGTTGTCCCCCCAGAGCCTCATGTAGTCATTGGGGTGGCTTCAAGAGTTTATGATTTTTTTTCTTTTTTTCTTTTTTTTTTTTTTGGTGGAACCAGGGATTGAACTCAGGCCCTTGCGCTTGCCAGGCAAGCACTTATTCTATTACATCCATGGATAGTCTGAATGCAATGTAAGGAATGGAGAAAGGCTTGTGCTAACTAACCCTTTCCTTCCTTCATTGTGGGTGTTGGGTATTTTGTCCCAGCAGCAAGAGAAAAGTAACTAAGACAAGTCTATATTATTGTTGCTTTTATGTATCTTTGGTCATACTTTTCTGCAGGTTGTTCAAGACCAAATTAAAGTGAGACCTGTGTTCATCAAAATTAACCTCTTTCTATCAAAGTCAGGGAAGGCTCCTCGAGCATTTCTTCAGGAACTGTGTGCAAAGCCTTCAGTTCCTCCACCCCTGTCAGCCATCAAGGAAAGGTCATGGTCTTGCTTGACTGTGTGATTTCCCGTGGACACATGCGAGATGTTTTTCATTCTGATCAGCCTACTTTTTAGCATGCTGTACATTGATTGACTTCTCTCCTTTGGGCTCCAACCACATTTCTGTTGAGGTTGGGGGCTCATCAAAGTTGTAGGGTCCTATAGAAATGTCCCCTCATGGCCTGGTCCTTATTAACCTTGGAGGGACAGGGCCAAAATACTGGTTGTACTCCTAGCTCAGTTATCTTTTAATTCCTCCAAACCTCAGTTTCTGAACATCTAAAGATCAGTTATGCTAGTAGTATAGTAGCAGTAGGTTTAGCCTTCTGATCTTATGATCTCAAATAGGTATTAAATATTCTGAAATATATAATTGATCAGAAAACTCTTACTTTCTAAGGCCAGCAAGATAGCTCAGCAGACAAAGTGCCTGTTTCGGCAAGCGCAGGGATCAAGGTTTGATCCCTGGTCCTCATGCCGCACACTGGCCTTACCCCTGGGGCACCAGAGTCTGGGCGTGGTGGTGCAAGCCTGTAATCCCATCACTGGGGAGGCTGAAAACAGGAAGATCACCACGAGAGACCTTGTACCAAATATACAAATGGGAAAAAAGAAAACTGTTACTTTCTTTTCTTTTTTTTTCCTTTTTTCTTTTTTTTGACATCAGTTAATTTTATTTTAAAGAAAATAAATAAAAACAATAGTACAAAATCTTAAAACAAGATTTTAGGAGAGTAACAATTGTTAGTACATTGTGTATTGTTACTGCCAAAGTAGTTTCTCATATTACAAGATATAGGCAAGAAATAATAAGTAAACAACATAGGTACAAACATCTTTTTTTTTTTTTAAAGTCAACAGAAAATGGAAATACACTTTTTAAAGTTTCTAATACTAGAAGATATTAT